TATATATATATATATATATATATATATATTAAATTCTACATTTAAAGGATATATATTCAAAGTTGAATATCCTTGACGAAAGCTATGCATTTGACACAGTAATAAAATGGATATCCATTTGAATGAAAGAGTTCCGGGGTTTAAACCCTACATAACACAATATTTTTTGTTTTATTTTAACAACCACACAGGCACACACCATTATTTTTGAACACTGCCACTAAATTTCAATATAAAGAAATATATCTCGAGTTTAATTATTAATTAACTCAATACAAAAGAAACTTAAAAGATAAGAATGATTTAGGTTATATTATAGAAATTACTCATCTCTAAATTAGATATGGAACTCTTCATCATCCTCTAAGACTAAATCATTACGTATATATTTAGGTTCTAAGGAGAGACTCCAACAAAGCCAAAATATAATATTCTCTCCAATTAAAACAATATGACTTACTTTCATTTTAATTCGCTTAAAAAGAATGATCCTTTTTTTTTGGAACACTTTAATTTCAACTTTCCGCCTGACATGTTTAATTAAGACCACCAAATTAAAGGACATTTTGATATATTGACACAACTTTAATTTATGACCACAGAATTGAAAATTGTTCTTTATTTTCTTAAACTTTGTGTCAAGTCAAATAGGTGATTTTTTAAAACAAAGCATAACATAGAAATAATAAGATATACTAATTGAATATGATTTTGAGCTTATATATATCTTCCACATCTTTCAGTGAGCTATTATCTAAAACCATGGCTTGCATAAACAGTCTCTATTGCTTCAACCATGCAGACTCAGAAACTTCATCATACTATTGAAAAACAAAGTCATCCAGAAAGGATCTCTACCTATAAACCAAACATTTGGAAATATGATCATCTACTTTCTCTTACAAGTCAATATTCTGTGAGTATTCATAATCTTAAGTCATTTATTGCCTACTTTTATTTCATAGGATGTGTTTGTCGGTGAAGAGAATAGTTTTTGAAAAATATTTTCCAATTTTTCATGTTTCTCTGGTTAAAATTATTTTGAAAATGTTGTTTCTTTTTCTAAAATGAGGAGAATGACTTTTCTGGTGAAAATAGATCGAGAAAAGAAGTTTCCCCAGTATCCACGCTCTTCAACATGGTACTCTCTCCAAAACACCCCTTCGATCCTCCCCTATCCTTGCTCTCATAGTATTTATCTAGATTATACATAAAATACTTTTGAGATAATATTTTAATTTTCTTTCTATGCATCAAACACAAGAAAATAAATAAAGAACCACTAATTTTTCATGAAAACCTTTTCCATGGAAAAATCTCCTTCCTTGCAAAAATTTGAAGTGACTTGACTATGATTTGGGGTTGTGTTTCATTGTAGTTGGAGGTGGATGAAGAAATTAAATGGAGGGGAGTGGGTCGGGTTAAAAGAGGGATTCGGTAATTATTTAAGTAAAATTGGGTATTTTGAGTGGATGTACGGAAATCCATCCAATTGGGGTAGTTTTACTCCTTTGTCTCTAATTACTTATCCATTTTTAAATTAGCACATATATTAAGAAAATAGTAATTGACATAGTGAGTTTATTATTTTACTCCTATTAGTCATGAAGTGGATGAATTAAAAGTTTAAGATTTTCACGAACTTCTACATTCTCAAAGTAATTAATTGAGGGTTAAAATTTTTTGTCTTTTCTTAATTTGTCAAAATGGACAAGTAATTAAGAACAATTAAAAAAAGAAAAGTGGACAAGTGATTAAGAACGTAGTGATATTAAGTTTCACAACCACATGGTTAAAATTGATCCAATAGTATCACAAAAAGACAAATTTAACCAATAAACGAAAGTAGAGAAATATTTTTGACCCTATACTCCGTAATTATAATTTGTTCGTGCACGAAGGAAAGTACAAAATTGAAGCAGAAAAGCTAAAAGAGGAAGTTCGTTGCATGTTTTCAAACACTACTAGTCCAGTGGCTCAGTTAGAGCTTATAGACGGAATTGACAAACTTGGCCTAAGTGCTTACTTCGAGGTTGATACAAATGAAGCTTTGGAAAATACAATTTTGTACATGAAAACTAGTTCCAACTCAAAGGATCTCTATGCTACTGCATTGTGCTTTAGACTTCTTAGGGAACGTGGCTACCATGCTTCACAAGGTATTATCATATAAAACATCGACTTATGACCATTTAATATATTAACTCTTACTAATAAATTGAGCAAAAAATGACATTTTCCTCTTTCTACTTTTTATTTTGTTGTACTGCAGATATGTTAAAGGATTTGTTTGATGGGAAAGGGAAATTACCTCCACATGTAAAAACATTATTGGAGCTTTTGGAAGGGTCACATCTGAGCATTGATGGTGAAAAATTACTAAACGACATAAGATTGTTGTCTACCAAAAACCTCAAAAATTTAACATTAGATGTTGACAGATTTACTAGTAATCCCTTGGCATGGAGAGTGAGATGGTACGGCGTTAGAACACACATTATTAATACTGCTAAAAATTGCAACAACACAAATCCAATGTTGCTCAAATTAGCTAAACTTAACTTCAATATTATTCAAGCCACACACCAAAAAGATCTCAAAGATGTAATAAGGTACGTACTCCTATATATTAAATCTTTTTTTTTTCTTGACAGTTCAATCGATCACCTCAATTGTTTTATTGAATATTTTTGTTTTTGTGATCGAATTAAACAGATGGTGGAGGAATCTTTGCATAGTTGAAAGTTTAGGGTTTACAAGGGACAGAATAGTAGAAAGCTTCTTTTTTGCTGTAGGAATTGCGTCAGAGCCTGAACATGGAAGCATGAGAAAATGGCTAACCAAAGTGATTCAATTGATACTTATAATAGATGATGTTTATGATATTTATGCTTCTTTACCCGATGTGCAACAATTCACCCGTGCCATAGAGAAGTACGTATGTCCCTTCACACGTTATTAAATTTATTCATATAATTAAATACAATAATCATGATAATTGACCTAATTTTAATTAGGTGGGATCCAAAAGAAGTGCAAAGGCTACTAGAGTGTATACAGATATGTTTCAAAGCGTTGCATGATACAATGGAAGACATATCTGTTGAAATTCAACGACAAAAAGGTGGCCCTTCACCATTACCTCATCTCAAACAAGTGGTTAGTATTAAACTACTCTATTTATACTAATCATTTTTGTTTAAGGGACGTATGAAATTTGTAGGGTACAAATAAAATTAAAGTGAATGTAATTTCTTTAATTTGTTGCTAAATTGGACCTTCGTTTAAACTTTAAATTTGACTACACATAGTCTTATTATAAGAGAAGTGCAATGACTACACATTAAGAAGTGCTTTACTAATGGCAACAACAAATTGCAAATATTAACGTTGTTTTATGAGATTAGTGATATTATTTAAATAAACCCATCATCCAATTATACAGGTGTATCAAACTAAGGATCCAAGTTATCGGCTATCTTGGTTATGGCATGAAAAGAACATAAGATCAATTCCCAAAATAACCAATTTTCCCCTCAACAATTGGAAAGTTGAAATTTTTCTCTACTCAACTTTTTTTTTGTTTTCTTTTGTCTAATAACCTGTGCCTATTCTACATGTGTTTTACATGATCTTTTTTTTTTTTTTCATGAATATATATATCTGACCTAATAATAATTGTTGCAATAATTCAGTGGGTCAACTTCTGTAAAGCGTTACTAGTGGAAGCAACATGGTACCACAATGGTCATATACCAACACTTGAAGATTATCTTCATAATGGGTGGACTTCATCTTCCGGTCCTTTACTTTCATTACATGTCATTTTTGGTCTCACAAATGAAAACCTTCATTTATGCAAAAATTGCCAAGAAATTATTTACCACACTTCCCTTATAATTCGACTTTGCAATGATCAAGGTACCTCAACGGTAAGATCTTAAAACTTTAACCTCTATTTTTTTTTTTGTTGATTATATTCTCTTTTGTAATAATATTAGTTGTATCGAGTATTGTAGGCGGAACTAGAGAGAGGTGATGTGGCTTCATCAATTATATGTTACATGCAAGAAGAAAATGTTTCAGAGGATGTAGCCCGAGAACATATTGAAAGAATAATTTTGAATTCATGGAAGAAGATTAATTATCATTTTAATAGCCTTTCTACATCACATCGAAAAATTATTAAGCATGTAATAAATGAAGCGCGAATGGCACATGTCATGTACCATTCTCGAGATGGATTTGGGGTCCAAGATGGTGAAACTCAAGACCAAGTCCTTATCAACTTGGTTGAGCCTATTATATAATCATTGTCTATAGGATTTATTATAATCTGCTATATGTATGAATAAGAAAGATACGAAGTTCCGTGTGGTAATATAGTATTAATTATGTGTTTACATATGATATTTATTTTGTGTACTTTAGATTTAAAATTTGTTATAGAATAATTGTTTATTCATTTTTAATAAATGATTTTAATAGATCATATATTCGTTTATGTGTCCATTTACTTATATAATAGATGATGTAAATGTATAGGGTTTAGCCGATTAAATCATCAATTCTTATAAATATGAAGTTTATGCTCACTATCTAAAATGGAAATTGGACAAAGCCTTTGGTATGATTATAATACAAAATTAAATATAATTTATTTTGATAATTAGAAATTTAGAATGATATAATTTCGACTTCTTGGCAAAAATCCTGGACAGCTTCTCCGGACTCCATTTTGGACACCTTTACAGACCCAATTTTATTGTATGGACTTGGCCCAGTAATTTGCAAAATACCAAATCAATTCTTAAGTGCACGAACACCTGTTTTGAGGTTCCTATTTAAACTTTTTCTTTTTTTTGGGAAATTCATTCCCCACAACCAAATAAGTATCTATATTATCAAAAAAAATAAAAAATCTTGATTCATAAAATATGTTAATAATTTACAAAACAAAGATTAAAAAATTTGGGTAAAAAACACAATAGCCACTCGACACCTTAGTAGCAAGTTTTTGTTTCAATTGTCTGGCCGTTTTCATTTATTTAAGTTTGAGAAACTAATATGAATTTTATAAGAAGTTTATACAGTTATATACACATTCTATATTGAATTTATACATTTTTATATCCAATTTTTTTGAGTGAGATATACACATTTTATACGTTTTTCATACAAGACAGTAGTGAGCAAAAATTCCAAGTCTTGAGCGAGATTACATAGTTCATACCAATTTTATATAGTTTTCATACATGAAATTTTGAATGAATTTTCTAAGCCAATAACAAAGTTTTGAATATATTGCAAAGAAACTCCTACTATATTTGATAAATTTCTAAGACTTTTTAGGCTTACACACAAAAACTCGTCCAACACCAAAGCTTACAACTAGACTAGTGAAACTTACACTTCATAATACTTTCACCCTCGCAGATTATATCGATGTGTTGCTATTATACCCAAGTCCGAAGCTCGTGCGAAAAACGCTTTTTAAAATTGTGCGGTAATTACAATTTGGATTCACATGTTGAATACTTCTAACTTAAAAGTTTGTAATTGACAACATTCTTTCAATCTCATTGAATGTGAATGCTTAATGGAACACAAAAAATAAGATACTCCATTAATTTAACCTATAGTTTAATAAATTTAAATTCTTGAAAGTTGTTTAAGTAGTAATATAGGAAAAGACTAAGACCATCTCCAATCCACCTCTATTTTACTCTCCATTCTCTATATTTGGAGAGTAAAATAGAGAATGGACACTCCAACCCACCTCCAAATCACCCTCTATTCTTCAAATTTAGAGAGTTGAATAGTAGTTCTCCAAATTTGGAGAACTGCTATTCACACTCTCTATTTCACTTTTTCATTATTTTATTATTATTTCTATTACTTTCTAATTAACATATTATTTTACATATAATTTCATTAATTAAATATCTAATATTCATAATTCTTTTTTAAATGTAATATAATATTTTTAAAATATTTTATTTAATATATACTATTTTAATTTGAAATAAATAGTATTTTAATTTTTTTTCTAATTTTCGTGAATAATAAAATTTTATTTTATTATTAATTTTCATTATAAAGAATATGCAAAA